AAAAACTAGCCAAATTTAAATATACACTTCATAGTTTTTAAAATTAGTCTGTAAGTCTGGATTTTGCCCAATTTCTGAGCTACTGCAGTTATCCCTTGTCAATTCTGCATAAAAACACATGAAACGCCGGTCTAGAGGCTTACTTTTAGGATTCAAGAGATACATAGCTACATATATATTTTTTCATCAAGTTCAGTACTTGCAAATGCTAAAGTGTCAATATTCCAATTTTTTTTGCATAGGGACTCCTAAACTAGAGTTTCTGATTAATTAGCCAAAACACAAAAAGCCAGTAGAGATGGGTCAAATTGACGATATCACTTTTGAAGATTTCCCTAGCCACTTAGAAGGCTACACATAAAGTATTCTCACTGTTAAGCACAGATGTCTTTCAACTTTATTTTGCAAAAGAGATTCTGTCTCAGAGTTTAAAAATCTTCATCACTCTGCCAAGGAACGGAATGAAGGACTAAAGTTTTTAAAGAATTTAATCACTGTACTAGATTTTGAATGCTGACCCATTGCAAAAGAAACCAGCCTGGATACCATCTCACCAATGAACTCTCTTATGTACTAGAGCCAGCAACCAATTGGCTAGCAGATGACATGACAAAGCCACAAGGGGTGTCTGATGACCCAAGTGCAACTGCACCAAAAAGCCAATTACAAAATGTTCTGTTGACGCCCATTATTCTTCTTAGAAGACGGGCTGCTTCTGAGCAAAGCACTCTACGGTGACTCATCCCAACTCATGCCCCGTCTCTCCTCTGTTAGGTCAACAGTTCCACCCAGTAGTAACACATTATTTACTACCTAAGAATTTGCTACAGACTCCATTCTGGAAAGATGTTAGGACTAAATCACGCCAAGAGTAGACCTTGCTAGAAATCTGAGGAAATACAAAAGGGTAGGAAACTCAACCAAGCTTTAGATTAAAGACCCCATGGTAGGAAGAATACTTAATACTCAGTCATAGTATGTTTAATACTCAATTCTTCTAGTCCTGTCCTACAAAACACTAGAACCACTATGAAAAAATGTAACATTCACTGAATTCTGTGGGGGTTGTTTAGTTAAATCTTCAACAAGTTCCTGCATCAACAGAGCTGCTAGTTCTCTTTTCTATAATTATGGTGTGTTTTGGTGCAAAGGTATAAATCACCATGCCCTGGTTTCCCTCCAAGATGCTACTCCATACCTGCATAAACACCTTTCCAATGACCACATCGTCGTCATCCTTAAACACTGTGCTGAAGACTACCGTGACTCTGTCCTTTTTAGACTCAACATACCTGAGGGGAACAAAACCCACGAGAGTAAGTACAGCATCAGAATGGGGTTTTGTCAATAACTTGATCAAGTGAAGCAGAAGACTAAAGTCACAAATCTCTTAATTCATAAAACAAAGGTGTGCCAAATGAGATTAGGTATTTATGGCCACAAAGTCAATGTAAAAAATGCATGCCCCAAGAGAGAGGCAGGAGATGGAAATTACCAAAAGTAGATTTTATTAACTTGTATATATATATAGTATGACATGGAAAAGAGTGATTCCCAGAACTCCACTTTTTAAAAATTTTCTTTATATACGGGACTCACAGTATGTAGATAATCCTAAGAGCTGCAATAACACAGAACCCAAGGTCACCTTCTGCCTCCTGATTATCCAGAATATACTCTTAAAGAGGACTTAGAATAATGGTGCCTTAAAGCTACAGTCCCCTACCCCCTGTGGCCTGTAAGGGACCGTGGGCCGCAGAGCTCCTCCTATACCCCCATCCATGGAAAAACTGTCTTCCATGAAACTGGTCCCTAATGCCAAAAAGGTTGGGGACAGCTGCCTTAAGAGAAAGCATTACATTCTCTTTTCATCTTTTGTTAACTCTCAGTATCTGGAGACTAGGAGAAGTGGCCAATTTTTCCCCTTATCACATACATCTTGGCTTAAGGAATTTTATGAGAAAACACTTCAAGGGGGTTCATACAACAGAACTTAAGGTTTGACTGAGCCATATTTATTTCAATAAGTGCCATCCTGGTGTGACAGCCACACCTGGGCTTCAGGACCAAATTCTATACTCACATGGTCTCATCATCCCTATAATGGATAACTGCCCTGTTCTCTCCTTCCTTGCCTTCTTCTTGGAATTGGAAATATTTCTCAAAGACAGAGGCAAAACAATTTCGCTTCAACATGCCAGCCTGATGTACAATGGAATCCTTGGATGCAGGCAGATTTTCAAGGTCGTACAGCAAAGAGACATTGTATCCT